GAATGAATGAATGAATGAAGAAAAAAAGAAGGAACAAACAAAAGAGGGAAGAATGAATGAATGAATGAATGAACAAACAAAAGAGGGATGAATGAATGAATAAATGAATGAATGAACAAACAAGAGGGATGAATGAATCAATGAACACACAAAAGAGGGATGAATGAATGAATGAATGAACAAACAAAAGAGGGATAAATGAATGAATAAATGAATGAATGAAGAAAAGAAAGAACAAACAAAAGAGGGATGAATGAATACATGAACAAACAAAAGAAGGATGCATGAATGAATGAATGAACACACAAAAGAGGGATGAATGAATGAATAAATGAATGAACACACAAAAGAGGGATGAATGAATGAATGATTGAATGAATGAAAAAACGGACAAAAGAAAGAATGAATAAAGAGAGAGAGGGAAGGATAGATAGGTGGATGGATGGATGGAGGGAGAAGGGAAGGATGGATAGGTGGATGGATGGATGGAGAAGGGAAGGATGGATAGGTGGATGGATGGATGGAGGGAGAAGGGAAGGATGGATAGGTGGATGGATGGATGGAGGGAGAAGGGAAGGATGGATAGGTGGATGGATGGATGGAGGGAGAAGGGAAGGAAGAAAAAAATGAGCAAAGGAAGGATGGAAAGAATGAATGAATGATTGAAGAAAGAAAGAAAGAAAGGAAATATTGATTTAGAAAAAAACATTGCATTTATACAGGTTTATGAATCTAATAAACACTTAAACACAGTGATTGTTTTAGTCTAAATTTAATAAACTTTAACTTAATCAATTAAACTAAAATTTAAATAAACTGAAAATAAAAAAACACCTTCTTGCCAATATTTAACATCTATTCCAGAATATACATCCAAACATGAAAAGACAAAAATATAATGATATATAACAGTATATATATATATATATGTATGTGTCGTTTTTAAATGGCCATATAACGACTTTTTTTCGTCTCTCACAGAGGTGAACAAAGTAACCAAAAATTCCAGATGAATATGAAAACACTGCAGTGCTAGAGAGTGCAGTGTAATGCCCTGTGGCCTTCATGATATTCAGCTGTTTCTACATTGTTCTGATGCTTCTGCAAGATCCAAGACAAGTGCAACCATCAGTGCATCAAGTGAATTTCACACTCAAAGGGTGTTAAACTACCTCTGACAACTAATGATAAAAAAAGTTGAAAACAAAGTCAAAACTTCTGCACGCTTCAGAAAATCTCAAGTTTTATGTGACGTTAAACGCCTTAAATTGTTTTAGTGAGAGCCGCAGATGAGATAGATCTCAGGCCAATAGTGGTTAAGTGCAAAACAGCCTATATGTGCTGTCAGCAGTGGAAAGCGAAAGGTCAGAGCTGGTGGCAGTTTGCTGACTGCTCGCGATTTACTGAACAGACAATGTGTGGAAACCAGCACAGAGGTGCGAATACATGCATGCCTTATCACTGCTTCTGATAAATAATAAAAAAAGTGGAAAAGCAGCAAGATGCATGGGTGGAGGAGAGCAAATGCAAGGTTGAACGTTGCAGAAAAATGACTTATTTAAAGAGATTAGGAGCAATTCCAGCGTTATGCATGTGACGTGCAGTAAAAAACATACATTTTTTTATTAACATTATATTGAAACATCTGTTTATATTTACCAAAACAAACCACAGAGTCATATAGGAACCTAAAAATATCAATCTAGACATTTTTATAATTTGAGGAAAATAACCATGCGTTATGGAAGTGACCAGAAAAGGTATGCGAGTTTACGGTGTACAACCAGAGGCGAACTGGGACTAAAAATCAACCCTGGCACTGAAGCCACACCAGCTTTGGGGGCTTAAGCACCTGATGTATTGTCAAAATCCCCTGATCTTTTGGAATATGTTGCACTTAAATAAAAATAGGTTGTATAACATTTATTTTGTTATCGAAGTCCTTAAAATGACCACAAACATCACACGCTCCGCTTAACGCAGCGATTGGGTCATGTAATTAAATAGTCAGCTATTCAGCAGTACCTGTTTCTACAGGCAGGTGGGAGTGGCACTGTTGTCACACCGTGTTAAAAAATCCCGTCATCATAATTCATTCATTATTTTGAGGAGCTGATGCTGATGAGGAAATAATACAATAATAATATAGTAATAATACAATTATACAGTTAATATTATTATACAATAATTCAATTAAATAATATAGAATAATACAGTTTCGCGAAACTGAATAATTATAACTACTGATGAAGCTTAATATTTGTTTTCACAGTATAAAATGTGTGTAGTTTTGGTGAAATAAATTAATCGATCAAATGTGCATCATATTAATGTAAATACAAGCAAATTAGTCAGAAAAACGTAAACTGTATAGCTTTCTAAATATGATATATAGAAATATTTATCTAGATATGATATAGCCAGGCACATCTGTTTCTCTAATAGTTAAATCACAGTGAGTTAATGCATCTAGCTTATTATTTTATAGCTTCTATTATAA